GGGGGGTAACCCTACCTTTTAGTTCTTATATGCCACTTAGCCCATAGCTGTTAGCCCAAGGTAACATGGAGGGCATTCAGTGATCAGAAGGCAAGGTACTGAACTTATCCTTCACTAATGGACACACCTGGCTGAGTTTATGGCCTTTAGAAGAGGACTCAGCTCTTTAGGCAATACCTAAAGCAACAAGTTCCAACTCACGGTTCAAAGTCTGAATGTTTGGATTTGTGCCCTCTCCTTCTTGTTTTGGAGGAGATGGGAAACAGGTGTTTAAATAGTGAACAGTGTTTAGCACCCACCTCCTGTGCTGGCTAGAAAGCAGCACAACTCTATTAGGTGCCACGCTTTCACACTTTGGCAGTAGCAGCCATCATCTCTGCTATCCCTCTCCTCAAAGTAGCAATACACTATTGCTTTCCTTTGGCTGTCAGCAGCTGAAGGAGTGAGTTTGGCAACTATTGCTGCAGGGGAGGAGAAAAGGGGAGGAAAGATCCACAGAGTGGGAGGTCATGAATAGCTCCAATAAATGGATGGGGTCCACACAGTTGCCAAATCAAACCAAGGGCCATCAAACAAAGGTAACATTTAAAACAAAGACACATCAAGCAGGAATAGTGAGGAAGGAGGGAATACTGTATTAAGATTTACAAGGCAATGAGGAAGGAAACTACATAACATTCTTTTAAGGCAGAAGGAACTTATAATAGAGTTACTTTTCATACATGTACAAACAAGAACTATTTTGTTCGTAGATTCACTTGCTATTTTGTTCACTTGCTAATTTACATTGAATCTAGAAAAGAATGTCAACATAAAAAAAAAAAAAAAAGTGTAGATACTTAGTTTAACTGACTTGGCACTTAGAACTTACAAACTTCAGTGGTCTGAAATAACTCCCAGAATATCACTGAGAAAATATTAGTCATCACTTTCTCTGTTTTCATTGCTATGTCCAGAATGCAAGGTGAATTCAAAAGGGGTCATAGAATAATTATTAATATCCTCAGAATTCTACACAGTGTTTTTCTGCCAATATAGTAACCGCAGTTTAATGGGAATGCCTTGGTTATACACTTTTAACATTTGCTATCAGAAAGCTATTTTATTTTTCATCTTTGCTTAGCAGGGGGAGAAAATGGCAGAGAAGTCTTTGAGCATGTCGGTCCCTGATAAATGTCATTTAATTTCCTGAAGGACAAACAAATGAGCAACAAACAGCACCAACTATAAATAAACAATGAAAACAAAATATACCTTTTTTTTATAGATTTCAAAATATTTCGTTTTAATGTTGTCCTTTAGAGCTTTCTGTGTTTGATGTGTTTTTATGTCTTCCTCTCTCTGAGCTGGATATTAAAAATCTGTCTGATATATAGAGAAAATTATATACCAAAGACATAAATTCACAGAATTGTCTATATTGTCTCACCCTTGTATGGGAATTTAACTCCACAGATCAGTCATGATTTCCTGTAGCAATTAAAAAATGT